AAAGAGTGTATTTATGAAGCATATAGAGGCTAGGTCATATAAACTTGCTTTACTTGCGAATTCTATTCGAGCATCAGTTCTAACCAAGGGATTCTCTCCATTGAAATTATTTAACACACACACACACACACAGAGTAAAATATTAACTTTAATTCGAATTCTGCGGCTTTGATTCTCCCACATTATTTATTTATATTGGAATTACATGAGTGGGGAGTGCACCTTTACCTCTTGAAAGGTTTTTTTTTTTTTTTTATTACAAATATTCTTATCTTGAAGCATTTGGACCGTCCAATAACGTGGAAAGGCAAGACGCTGCTTGTCGAGACATGGAACGGACGCATTAAACCGCTCTTTCTAAGTTTTAACACGCTCATCTGCGTTCAAACCCATACGCGTCACTTGCTTGTGGTTCTATCCATCCATGGTACAATATTGTCCTCCTCATCGCCATAACACAACCAGACAAACAAAGGACAGTACTTTGGAACCTTAAAAAAAACGGAGAAGCAAGGGAGCAGTTTCAGATAATGGCTCCAAAAAAGCCATTTCTAAAGTTTGCTTCTTTATATTCCTACAGCGACGGAACGCTGCATTATTGGTTGGACTCAACTCTCTGTCACTGACCCCATATATATATGCATGCTCTCACGTACACGTCCATGCACGTATCCGATTCCCCCGCTCTTATACCTCTATATGCGTATGCGTGCGTGTCTGTTATTATATTATCCATCTGAATTTTCCGAATTTCTGTTTCTTCATCTCGGAAGAATAATTGAGATACTGCAAGAATTGTGTATATGTATCGGTGATTAAGGAAGGACACCAAGTGATGGAATTATTTGTAACAATCAGAGAATTGAAACTCTGCATTATTTGAATTACAATCACACGTCTTTGTCGAATGTCGTCTCTCTTTTTTTTTCCGGTAGCATTATTGCCTCATGCTCGATTGATTTGATTGAAACCCAAGGCTTCCTGATATAATAGCTCTTTGATTTTGAAACACAAAAGTCAAATAATTTCAAAGTATGATATTGACGGTGCCAACCACGGAATTGATTGGAATCTTATTAATTACATATATATATGAATAATTTAATCTACTAATATGATTTAATAATCTAACATTATATACACCACATTTGAATGGGCCTAAATGTATTTGAGCTAGAGAGACCAACAGGCTGGGCCGAATGGCTACTTGGGGTTTACTGACGTTTTCATAAATAAATAACCCTAACCCTTCGATGCTTTTTGAATTTGAATTTCAAAAAGTTTTCGGAAAGCCTCCATGATCCATATCAAGATTCTCTAACCTCTGCTTCCTCATCGCGCTTTTCTGAATCTGATCACTTTTACACTTCGATTTCCGATCGTCGACCATCCGGGGGGTGTTTTGCTCCATCTCTCTACATTTCTGCACTTTCGGATCTTGTTTTCGTTCTTCCTGATTGTAATGTGAGTTGACAAAGTAATATCGCGTCTGTGTTTTGCGTTGTTGCGTATGATTCAATAGCACAGTAATTGAAAATGAGTTGCCTGGATTGTTCGTATTTTGCTTTTTATAATGTGCCGTTCTTTTTTCTTTCCGGTGGAATGTCATCATATAGCGATGGAGAATGGGTGTATAAAGTATAGTTAGATTGACATTTTCTTTGGAGTGGGGAGAGGCGGCTTTTCTCTTTTGAACTTGGCCTTGCAAAGATTCCCAGGCCCTTTCGCCCTCACTGACCTCTCACTTTGCTCTGCGCTTGAAACACACGCGGTTCAAAGGAAGCTGCATCTGTTCTTTCTTCTCAGACTTGTTGCTCTTCGTGTTGTCGAGTTGGCATTTTCTGCTGCTGGGCGCTTGTCGTCTGCTTGGTCATTTTGTTCTCAATGACCGTTATTTTCGAGCTATGTTTGCTTATTAGAGTATAGTTGGTGGCGTTTAATCGGTTGAATAACTCTTTGTTTGTTTGTTCCGAATGCAGGATGAGTTATTATGTGATCCGCCTGTGACCGCGGCCCCCAACCCAAGTCAGAGTACCCGGTGACTGATTGTTGAACGAATGTCCAAGAATCTAACAGCCCCTCCAGTAAAATATGGACTGCCGGGTCTGGAAGAGGCCGAAGCGGATAGAAGAGGCACCTTTTGCCTCTGCGAACAAATACTTGAGAATGTTCTGTCTGTTTGATATCTCTGGCATTGAGGCAGGGGAACTCGCTTGACTTGACTGACCCGTTACTGAAATTCGTCTTAGCAACTCGGAAGGCAGCTAATGTTGCAGTGAGCATCGTGTCTTCTATGAGGTGGACCTTGCGGATTTTGTGGCAGAAGAGAGGCATGAAGGGTTGTTAGTTAAGATACATGGATCTTTGGGACAAAGGGGTGGGCGAAAAAGGAGATGAATGGTGGCATCTCAGAGGATGCTGCCAGCTGGCTGAAGTTGGCATGATCAGAAGAGCTGGCTCACGGAGGAAGGCGTTGAGGAGGTAAACTACATATTTAAGGATAAGCTGATGACTTGGAAACAGAATCAAGCAAGATGAGCAGGATAACGGATCTGAAGCTTTGTGGCAGTTCATTCATTCACACAGAAGCGGGAGCAGTCGTTTATTAAGCGTAGCCCACATACATGACCCAACATTTTACCTTGAAAAGAAGCGAACGATGGAATGAAACGTCTGGAACTCTCACCTTCACGCGGCTGCGTCTGCATCTGCATCTGCCGGGGACTTATGATGATCCGTGTCGTCGGGGTCGTGGGAGGGATCGGACTTGTCGATGGAGGAGCGGAACCTGTCGAGCAGAGGCTTCAGAGCCATCTCTATCGCTAACCACCCAAACGCCAACGCTCCCACTACCACCGCCGCCTGTTTCCCTCCCGACGCTTTCCCCATCTCTCTTCTCCAAATCACGAAAATTGAGGCCACGACGCTATTGGCCGTCGATAGTATGAATCGACGGTCAGGATTCGGTGAGAGGTAGGGTTGTCTTGAGATTGAAATGGGCCTGCTTTAGGCTTCTCCATTAAAAAAATAACCCAAAAAGTCTCGTGATTCCAAATGAACCTCGTATTGTCTTACTAAATTTTTGGGTGGTTGTTTTGTTCATCGTTTTCATCCAACCCAGGGAAATAAAATCGAAGGCAGGGGCTCACGTGCAATGCACATGCCTCTCAAACTACAAGTATCCATGGCGTGAAAACCAAACTCAACGCAGAGGACAGGATGGTGTCATTCCGCTTCCCATTCTCGTTTTCTCAGCCTCCCTTCCCCAAACCACCGCTTTCCACGTCTTCCGGTGGCTTCTCCCTCTCCGCCGTCGCCGTCTCCTTCACCGTTGGCGTCGCCACCGCCGGAGCTGCTCTGAACCCCAAGCACCCGATCCTGCAGAACGCCCTCGACTGGGTCTTCTCCTCGGATCGTTCGTCTCTGCTCCCTTGGGGATCCCTGTCTCTAGCCGACTATAGCTCCGAAACTGTGGTTGAATCGAGGACCGGATTCTCATTCCCGGCGGTCATCGGCGATTCGCAGCGCTTACTCGGCGTCGGGTTGAGGAAGAAGAGCGTGCTCGGATTGAAGAACATCGATGTCTACGCATTCGGTAAACCCTAGAGTTTCTTCATTCTCTTTTGTAAATTTTCGAGCTGAATCTTTTGGTTCCAAGAGTAATTTACATCGTACATTGGACTTGAATCCGAAAATCCATGGACAAGGAGCCAATGTATGCTTTCTTTCAGCTTATTCTAGTAGGAATGCAGCTCAAGTTTATGGTTTTTTGTAGTCTATGTTCTTCCTTATAGGGGAAATCTACTGAATTCAATGTCTCGTTATATCTGCTATTCCACAACCAAACTGTGGTTGCCACCGAAAGGGGGATGGGGGAGCGGAGAGGAGGAAATGCATTGCGTATCTTTTCTTTGTTATCAGAAAATTCAGTAGAGAAGCAGTTTGATGCGTGGATCATTCTTATATGTTAACACCACAAAGCTAGAGTTTTGAATGTCTTTTCATTCTGGGCCAATCAGCTGATTGATACATGAGCGCAGGTGTGTATGCTGATAGCGATGACATAAAGAAACTTCTGGGTGAGAAATATGGGAAGCAGTCAGCTTCTGAGCTCAAGGAGAAGGATACATTACTTGATGAGCTCATGGAAGCTAATATAAGGATGACCATCAGACTTCAGATTGTTTATGGCAAACTAAATATCCGTTCCGTTCGCAGTGCTTTTCAAGAATCTGTCGGAAGCAGACTCAAGAAGTTCTTGGGAACAGAGAACAAAGAATTGCTTCAAAGGTACGCCTTCTTCTCATGTCTGAAAAACCTTTAGGCTTAGATTGTCCTTAGCAACTGTGCCCTGATTTCTGAATTTTTATCATATACCTTTGTTCTGTTAAAGTAGTTTTCTGTCACTTGATTCTGAATTATATATATAACTTCAATGTTAAAAAAGTAAACTCACACGATACCGCTTTCAAAAACTTCCCAACTGATTCTATTCATTTGTAAAGAACATGAATTACAACTCTTTTTTGTTCGAGCCTAATCCATCCCAAAAACACAATTCCCCTAAGTTTGTTCTCCCCTTACAACATGAATTCTATTAGCCCATACACTATGTGTGCCTCGCACACCCCGTATAATCCTAGACTCGTCTAGGCCCTTTGAACGGTTCGCCTGTTATTTGAAGTTTCCTCCTCAGATGCACTTCACTCTCTCTCAGATATCACTCACCTGTGTTTCCCACACCTATGATTCTCCAGCTCGTTTTTTCTTTGCTCTCTTTTTCTGTTTTGCTGGGATCCCTTTCTGTATCTCCCAAGTCTTGTATTTATTCATAACTCCTCTTCTTGTTTCCAATATTTTGCTCAATATCTTCTTTTCTTTTTTCTTGAACTTTATTGCTTTTCCTTGATCTTTCCATTTTTTTCAATGTCATGTTTCCTTTTCTCTTGAGATCTTCTAGATGTTGAATCTTCACTTGGTGTTCTTTCCTTACATTAACAAATGTCATTTGCAGTTTCACTTCTCTGTTCAAAGACGAGTATAAATTACCAAGAGGGTCTATCATCGATTTGTCAAGGGAGCCAGGAAATGTACTCAACACAACAAGTAAGATTCTATATAGTCTTATTGAGACAGGCATCCATTGTGTAACTGAAGTCAGTGAATTTGTTTCCATTCGTTGGTTTGCTGAACAGTTGATGGTGAGCATGTTGGGAGTGTGCAGAACAGAGCCTTGTGCCAGTCAATCTTGGACTTGTACATTGGCGAAGAGGAACCCTTTGATAAACAAGCCAGAGATGATTTCCTGGAAAATGTGGTTTCTCTTCTCGGGAAATAGTTCAGAATTCGGCTATGAACAAATAATGACAAGTCCAAGAGTTGGTGTTTGTGATGAATAAATAGGTTGTAACTTTCCATGTCATTTACTTCTACTTGACCGACAGGATCATTCAGAGAATGTTGGTATGACTGATGAAAAAACGTTTGTGTGTTTCATTTGGAAACCGCATGTCAACACAATTAATATCCAAACCTATAAGCTTACAGGCAGCACCCGCCGTGATATTGAGAGTTATGTCCAGACATTTGTCGGATTGACTTTCTAATTATGTCTATATCATTATAATGCAGCTAGTTTAGAGAGAAGATAGTAATTAAACTAAATAGGGTATATGGGTAACGAGTCTAATATGTACATTAGACCAATTACAATTACAATAATAGAAAAAAGAATCGACCCAATTAAACAAAGACAGAGAGAACCTAAAGCAACGTACTTCTGATCAGCGTCTACAAAAGCTCCAAACTTGCTTGAGTTTTTTTAACCATTCTCCTCATTGCTTTGGTTGTGAGAAATGCCGAGTAGATCTCCCATCGACAGCCCTTCCTTCCTCCAAAGATTTTGTCTTTTCTTAAGAAATTTTCTAGGCAGTCCTCCTTACACAAGCCAAGCCACCAACGAAGCTTTCTTCTCCGTTCCAAAATGTTTGAATTACCAACCACACATGATTTGCTTTAATCCGAAGACACTGCAAAAACGGTGACTCTATACGCCAATTTATCAAGTTAGTACTTGAGCCCAGACAGATGACCTGCGCAAGAGCTTATGATGGATGACATATTCCTTCCGCATACTGCGGATGATTTCTGGTTCGACCCAGAAGCTGTATTCTCGATCTGTTGCTGCTGCAGCACTTGAGCAGCAGTAGCAGAAATGGTGGATGGTGGCCCATTTCTATTGCTGACCTCAGGGCTTGTTTTGCCATGTGGAACAGATCCTGCAGCCAGAGCCGGAGATGCCTGATACTGAGGATGACAGCTACTGAGTTTCTCCTGGTGCCCCTTAGACGATTGTACCAACACGGGCTTTGGTGCTGTCGCAAAAGAGATCTGAGTCTGTCCTTGTGCTCTTGTCTGCTGCTGAAACTGGAACTGCTTGAGATCCAAAGAAGTACAAGATGTGAGTGGGGATGAAATTGCAGGGGTTTTCCATTGGGCTGACTTGGCAGGGACAGGGCTGGTCAGGGAGTAAGTCTGCTGGAAAACAGGGACACTGTTGGGGAACTTGGTAGCCAGTGATGTTGCTGGTAAGTTGTTTGCATCAATCAATTTACTCCGATCAGATTGCTGCTGCTGTGGCAGCATATGATGTTTCAGAGTAGAAGTTGAGTTCACTATCGCTGCTGTTACTGCACTAGACAGCCAAGTCCCAGAGGCGAAGTTTAAGGTTCTTGCTGAATTGTCAAAAACCAGTGTCTGCCCATTCGTTCTTGGAAGACCCTTCCCAAGAACTACCCTTTTTGGGTCCTCAAGATTATTTGAACAGTCTCTGGACTTTGCATCACTTGGCTGTTGTTGGTTTTTTGGTTGAGAAACCTGAGGTTCATGTACTATGTGGTTTCCTTTGGACGTAAAATCCAGACTTGTAGGTGCACCACTGCCACCAAAAGAGGCAAATGGCATGGAAAAGTTGAGTGGCTGAACAGGAACTGTCATATTCTGACTGTATGAGCTTTTCTGACTATCAGAGACAAAGGAAGAATTATCTACGCTCGTTTTTGTCTCAGACTTTCGAGACTGATAAGCAGTTGACTGCAGATGCGGTTTCTGCACACTCGCCAGGATCAAATGACTATTCCCACCAACTTGAGCGTGTTGTTGCTTGTGGAAAGGCGATGAGCCACTTGATGTACTTGTCTCTTTGTCGGCTTGACCCTGTTTCTGCAGAAGCTGGGGTTGGAACATCAATGGCGAATACAAGGATCCACTGAAGAAAGGCGGCGCCTGTCCAGGGACTCCACCCCTAACAGCAGGTGGGGTTGACACTTGAAAAGAATATCCATGGTTTGGCAAAATTGTCATGTATGGCGGGGCCTCACTTGCTGATGAACTTGGATAGCTAAAGTTGATGGATGTTGAACCACCAACCAAAGATGGATTCCGTGTTGGGCCAGGAGATTTAGAAGGCACAGTCTGATTAGCAGCACCCATCATAGGATGATGGTGGTGGTTTATGGGGAAGACGAAAGCTGGAGCAGACTGCGATGCCAAATTAAAAATGATTTGTTAGAGCACTACAATGCGAGAGGATTTCAAATATATTTCTGCCACCAAATGAATGCTGATGTGCAGAGGAAGTCCCTACCATTAAATTACTAGATGCAGCAGGAAGCTGTGGCTTCTTCTGTGTAGTTTCAGCAGAATGGCCACTCTCATAGGCTTTATCTTTCTGGGTAGGAACATTGGCCAATATTATCCCTTTGTCTGGTGCCAGGGAGTTCAAATCAAGAATGGGAAAACTTCCGTGCACGGATGGACTTCTGTGGTTTAAGCCTTCTGCAGCAGTTGGTGGTGCAACATAGGGACCGCCACCCTTTAGACGAACAGAACCAGGGTTTGGCACCCAGACATGGTTTGTTTTGATAAACTGCTGATGCAACTGAATGTTCCGAGCAATGAAGAAGTGTGTGGCACACCTTTTAGGCCTAGGCTGCGAGACAACAGATGGTGCAGCCTGTATCACGATGTTAATACAATCAGGGATAACAAACCGACAGAACAAGAATACATTGGAGAGACGGAGACCATATCAAATGCATATATATATATATATATATATATATATATATGTGTCGAAACATACAGGGATTTTGGGAGAAAATCCGGTAATGCCATCAACAGGTTTAACAGTGTGGAGTTGGGGCACGTATCTGCCATTTGGCTTGGCTCATTAGTCGTCTGAATCAGCAAAATAGAATGAGAATGGGATATGGATAATGGATTTCAGAACTCACCCTAAAGGAGGAAGCCCACTCCCATTAGGCCAACCACCTACAGCAATCGTCAAAGGCAAAACTGAACTCGGCTGTGCTGAAATTTAGAGAAATACCGCTGTTCAAGGAAATTTGTCTATCTCACACTTCAATCGAAAACTTTGCAAATTTTTACCCACAATTATAATGATGATTTCTAATGATTGAATTCAATAAGTGAGTTCGTACCAGATTTAGCCTGTTGTTGCTGGCTCCAGTCCTCATTCTGTAATCTAAGGCTAGAATTTCTAACATTATCTTGACTCGGTTTCTCAAGATCAAGCTTCAACCATTCACGATTTTGGACCTCCTTCTCTCCGAATATTATATCGGGGCTTGTTTCCTTTTTGCCAGTAGGCTTCTCTTTGCTCTTTTCAGAACTCTCTACCTGCATTTAAGCACAAGAACAGCAGTGTCATTAACTACACAAGAGGAGAAATACAGACTAAACTTAAAAAAAAAAAGAAAAAAAAAAGAGAAATACTCTTGCCTTGTTGTAATCTTGAGCAATTGGGTTGGGACCGGAAACCAATGGAAGAGAATCTCTCTCTGGCAAGGAGGGCATCGGAGGAGGAACCTATTGGAATAACAATAACTTTCAATAAATAGAATGTTTAGGATAATCTTAAGGTAAAAACCTTTAACCCGCTGATTTCCTCACCATCAGATCAATCTGGAGCTTATTATTAGCATTACTCTCCTCCCTTCCGTTTTTCGATTGTGGACCCTCTGATGCCCTGAACTCAAAAACAGAAAGCAGGCTAAATACAGATTAGACTTCAAAACAAGGATTTTAAGAGGAAATACTGATAGGCACAGAAAATGCTCATTATTCTTAAATTGTCTACCCTTTTGTCGCCGTCGAATCCTGAAAATCCAGCCTTTTTCTCTCCATAACATCAACTGGGCTACAAGATTGTTCTAGTTTCTGAGCGCTGGTTTGTGTATCCAAGGCGGCGCTCGACGCTTCCGCAGCATCGATTCCAGTAGTCTGGTTAAACCGAGGTGATTTCTCCGGTTCTTCCATGGATGTTTCGATGTTACCAGAGCGCCCAGTTTCGGTTCTCGCTGTATATGTGATTGAACCGTTCTCTACATGTGCGGAAAAAGAGAAGGAGCAACGATAAAAACTTTTGAATTCAGACGATCTCGGAGAAATCTGCAGGTTATCTGCGTAAAGATATACGAACGCACTTACTGATGTTAATACCTTTTACTTCATACAATTTTAAAGAATTCTGCGAATCATCGTCCTTCCTGGAGCTCCGTGACTGCTTCAGCCCGGATAGAACCTCTGCTATCTCAAACTCCAAGTCGTCCTCGGACGTGCCGGAGGATATTAGTGGCTTCGGGACACGGGATTTGAGTTCGTTTGCATTCTGCAAAATCAAATATTAAAATTAATTTGAAATTGATCATTCACACTATCACCGAATCCATTCTTTTTTAACGCAACGGACCATCTTCTGCTTGACCGAAACAGTGGAAGAGGACGGAGAAGCAGTTTCGAAGCTGTAACTAGCCGGTGAGGATGGAGGCCTCCCAAATCCTCCACCACCGCTTCCCGAAGAAGTTCGGCCGTCATGCGCCCTCTTTATGCAAGCTATAAACATCCGAAAAAAATCAGACGAAAAAGTTTCAAAATCAGTGAGATCGATCGGGGAAAATATAAATTCCGAGCTCCAACCTGATCGAGCCTTCCTGGGGACAGGAACACCGATCATCTCATCGGCGATCTTCAGAGACGGATCCATTCCGGTCTTCGCCGTCGCATGTCTGGGGACACGAGCCGGTGGGAAGCTCTTCCTGAGATAATTTTGCCGGAACGACGCTGAGTTCTGAGATATCGGAATACCTTCGTCGCCCAGACTCTCGCCTGAGCTGTCTTCTTCTGCATCTCTACCGTTCTTCACCGCGAACCTCTCGCTTCGTCTCCTCTTGCTCCGATTCAACGATTCCGAATCTCGTTCTTTCTTCTCCGGTCGATCCATCAGTCTCACCCTCTCCTGCATAATAATCTCGGTATCACCATCATCTGAAACACCAGAAAAAAAAAGCTCCATAATAAGAAAAGGAGAAAATAACGAGGAAGAGATTAAGGAGGAAAGGAAGAAGAAAAAGGACGAGGTCAAACTCATACCTGAGCCTCTCTGTCTCCGTCTTGGTAATCCGTTTGAGGCCGCCATGGCTGATCTTCGAGCTTCTCTGGCTATATGATTTGTATTCAAGGTTTTGTCCTAAAGGCTCTTATGATGTGAATGGCTCATGAAAACTGAAAACGACTTTGGTGTTTCAGAAACGAATAGGATGTTTTTGGACAACCATGCATGTTTAGTCACCGGTTCTTATAAGGCCACGCCCTTTTGTTAACTTTTGCTTGTGGTTCACATGGTTCGGTCTCTGGTGGGCCCCTCGAAATTGACCACGATGTCGTTATGGTTCGCCCACTTGGTTAATTCCCGATTGGGTCTGTTCTCTGACATTCGAGTCACTGAATTTTCAGCAGAAACTCTCTCTCTCTCTCTCTTATCTGGTGTTCCACCAGGTTTTGGTGCTTCTGTATTCCATTCCCGGTGCTCATCACAATCTCATCTCCATTATTTTTGTACATTCACCGACGGGAAAAAGAAAAAACGATGGACGGTTCAGATCTTTCGAAAAGGGAAATAAATCAATCGCAGCTGTTGGATCAAGAAGTGAATCCGACGCCTGTGATTGCTAAATGCCAGCGTGGCAACAACGTCACTTTCTGACGGAATAAAGCCCACTGCTCAACGCTTATTTTCATTTTAATGGCATTTACTTGGAATTTTAGATATAAGTCCATTATTATATAGTAAACCTTTTTACTTTCTATTTGTTTATTATTCCACTTTATTATTTTATTCAAAGACACTTAAAATAATAGTAAATATTTTAATGGGTCAAGTATACATAATAAATTAATGCGTACTGCTGTCGAGCAATTGTATATACAATATGTTTTCTATTCATTTTTAGAGCTTTTGACCGACCGAGAGAAACAATAAACTATAAAATAATGAGGAAGTTGTGTAATGTGCGAGTAAACTATTCCATTATTCTTTATTATAAAATAGTCCTCCAAACGCGCACTACACACGCGTGTGACAAACGCACTTTTTTTGCTTAACGGTGAGGGTATAACACCTGTCAGTTTCTAATTGGTGGGAATGATAGAAAGGAAAATATCTGGGCTGCTTTTGGCAACCGGGGAAAGGGGTGGCGAGTAACGGAATAAAGGGATGGAATAATCACGTGCGACTCGGGGGATCCGAGATGACCGCCCAAACCGGTCAAATCGAGGCCCACACCCACCAACGGCATAGATTGCTTCCTTATCGTGGGAGGAATTTCAGCCGTCGGATCCGAATCAGACGTGGATTGCTTTCTGCTTTTAATAAACCGCCACGAAGAAAAGCAACGTCCAAGCTGGAACTGCCTTGTAACCACCACCCCCTCGGTATTTTCATTATTTTTTGTTTAAAAATATTCATTACAATAAAATGGTAGTGTATGTATGAAGCTGACGTGGCATAATGCTGATGTCATCCTAAGCCAGTGCTCTGTGATTGGTTGCTCGTCGCCTGCTGAGAATGAGAAAGCGCGAGTACGGAAGAAAGTCTACTTGCTCGAGTGGTCGTTTATGCTACACGGCATTGTTTTCGTTTCTCAACGAAAATGATGTTTAGTTTATTGCGCTTCAAACACATGATCTCGTACAACTAATTAAATAAATTATTATGATTTGAATTCGGCTTTTCTATGTTTATATTATTTAACTGTCTCTGTAATCATTTTATATCATGGCAATATGAATAAAATAATGTGAGTGATCAAGAAATAATTAAATATTAAATAAGATAAATTAAAGAAAGAAAAAGAATAATATTGATTCGGGCATGATAATTTAAAAAAATGTTTATTGTTTGCCTATGAAAAGGATGACGACAGTTCCATATACAGTTTAAGGAAGGAGCGAATCAGAAGTAAACATTTTAAAGATATTTAATTATAAAAAAGTATTTAATAGTTCTTTTTGTAATGTTTTTGAACTCTACCGTATAAATATGAAACGTATTACTTATTAAGTGTTATTTAAATTTTAAATAATTATGAATGAAAGTTTATTTTGATTTCCAAGGAATCCATCCAACATCTCACCCACTTGCCATAATATTATAAATTAGTTGAAAATATTATTGCACAATGAGACACATTTTATATTCTCCCCATTAGCACTAATAATTACTTTATTGCTTAAGAAATTTAACCAAAACGGACCAAACAAAATCGCTTAGATAGTTATCTAAGACAAACCCCAATTATTAATGGATGTCTTAAAAGACACTAATTGGGAAATCATGTGTTGCATGATTGAACCCGGTACGAGTTATATTAATAAGTTGGAGCGTATTCAAATGCACAAAGCTCGTAGGGTTACGTTTTTTTTTTTCCAAACATAAATCTGTTTTGAAATCACTGGATCCAACTTCCATTCTTTACAAACGAAGAAACCTATCTTGGGTTTGGCGGATTTTTCGATGCGACGAGGTTTTATTATATGCATAACGAATATAATATTATGTGATGCAATATTATAATGTAGTTTCTCTTTCCGGGAAGGTGCAAAGCAAAACCACTTGAAAAAAAAAAAAGAAAAAGGTTGCTTTTGACTTTTATTTATGAAACGTTTTTATTAATAATAAAATTTATTAGATTGATTACTATAATTGGATGAGATGTTAAATTATGGTAATGAATGATATAATATGAAAAAATAGATCATATGGGATTACCAACGCCTATATGAAACTTGGCGACAAGAGTACACAGAAATGTTTGGGGAAAAAAAGGGACCAAAGTCACTAAGATGTTAGATGAACAAAGGAACGCAGAGTTCAAAGAGACCAAAGGGAAGGATGCTTTGTATATGACTCCATGTACGCATCGGCTAGTCTCACTGCGACTGCCTCAGCATCGCGATGAACTATGAAAGAAAGATGCATCAATGATCAATGCACACTGGCATTCTGATATATTCCCACATTGTCCCATTGGCAAACACAGGAAGGAACTTTGCAAACTGCTTATCGGATGCTTCAAATCTAAATGGGCCTATCTGGAGACCCTCTGCTTTATATTCGAGGCCCATTCCCTGGAGGTGGATTTGCCGAATTTTATTTTATTCCTCGAGAGATTTCCGATTAGCTTTGAATTGGATTGGGGCACTCGGTGAGATCGCAATCTGTGTTAGAGAAGACAGAAGAAAAACATAATAAATAGCGTTTTACAATGCCATTCGAATTAAGTAATACGGATCTTGTCGACAAAAGAATATAAAATAAACTCCAGAAACTCACTTGCCGTTTCTTGGTCAATACAAAATAAGGAATATGGGAATTCATAATAATCCCAAAAATAAAATAAAAAAGGGACGAGGGAAGCGGGAGCCGAGCCGAACAAGCAGCCGATGTTCACGCTACTTCGTGACCCGTAGGCCGAAACCGACACCTCCACTCGCACGTGCGACTGCTCTCCCTCCCACATATATTTAAATAATTAAATTTTTTTTTTAAAAAAAAAGAATAACGAAGAGAGAGAGTCAACACTAACACCCACGGTTAAATATGTACGAACGAAATCTGGTGTTATCTTTTTCCAGTTTAATTTCAGAGATCTTCCATCGAAAACAGCATTAAGCAATTTTTCCACAAAAAAAAAAAAAACGAATAATCATCCCAAAATAAATTTTTGGGTTTGGTATTTTCCGTTTGTTTAGAAATTGAGAGTGGGGGAGGGGGAGCAAATACATCAGTTTGGTGATATTTTGTGTAAATAAAGAAAGAGAGCCGACAATGAACAACTGACCCAGAACTCCGAGTATATAAACACCACTCAGTATCTCTCTCCTCCCCGAAATCCACACACCCCAAGCAAACAGTCTCCCTCTTCCTTCTCTCATTCCACCCTTACTACGCATACACTTCCTCTGCTTCTCTCCTCCTTGTTTGCTGCCATAGATGGAGATGGACCTCAGCAAGGTTACTCTCGAGATCTTCTCCAAACTGGAGCAGAAATGGCTCTCTCACTGCGAGAACACCAGGAAGACCAGAATCCTTAGCATCGACGGTGCTGGTTCCAGAAACGGCATTGTCGCCGGTGCTGCTCTCGTCCACCTCGAGGACCAGATCCGCCTTCAGACCCGTGATCCTCATGCTCAGATCGCCGATTTCTTCGATATAGTTGCCGGAACTGGAATCGGCGGCATCCTGGCCGCCATGCTTGTCGCCGACGAAGGC